AACTTCTTCAAAAATTAAACACTAGTTGGCAATGGGATTCTTAAAACTTCTTCAAAAGCAGAACACCAGATTACCCGTAGAATTTTAAAACTTCTTCAAAAACAATACACCGGGTGCCCCTGAGTTTCTTAAAACTTTTTTAATTATAAAACACCGAGTGCCCCTGAAATTCTTAAACATCGTCAAAAGTAAAACACCAAATTCACCGAGGATTCTTAAAATTTCTCCAAAAGCAATACACCGGGAGGCCCAGAGATTCTTAAAACTTTTTCGAATATAAAACACCGAGTGCTCTCGAGATTCTTAAATTTCTTCAAAAATAAAACACCGGATCCCCCTGAGATTCTTAAATTTCTCCAAAAATAAAACACCTGATGGCACCGGGATTCTTAAAACTTCTTCAAAACAAAAGACCGGATGCCCCTGAGATACACCGGGTGCCCCTGAGATCCTTAAAACTTTTTCGAATATAAAACACTCCGAGATTCTTAAATATTTTCAAAAATAGAACACCAAATACGCCGCAGATTCTTAAAACTTCTTCAAAAGCAATACACCTTGTGGCCCAGAGATTCTTAAATATTTTTCGAATATAAAACACCGAGTGCTCGCGAGATTCTTAAATTTCTTCAAAAATAAAACACCAGATCCCCCTGAGATTCTTAAATTTCTTCAAAAATAAAACACCAGATGCCCCTGAGATTCTTAAACTTCTTCAAAAATTAAACACTAGATGGCTATAGGTTTCTTAAAACTTCTTCAAAAACAGAAAACCAGATGCCCCGTAGAATTTTAAAACTTTTTCAAAAACAATACACCGGGTGCCCCAGAGATTCTTAAAACTTTTTCAAATATAAAACACCGAGTGCCCCTGAGATTCTTAAACACCGTCAAAAGTAAAACACCAGATTCACAGGGGATTCTTAAAACTTCTCTAAAAGCAATACACCGGGTGGCCCAGAGATTCTTAAATCTTTTTCGAATATAAAACACCGAGTGCTCCCGAGATTCTTAAATTTCTTCAAAAATAAAACACCAGATGCCCCTGAGATTCTTAAACTTCTTCAAAAGTAAAACACCAGATTCACCGGGGATTCTTAAAACTTCTCCAAAAGCAATACACCGGGTGGCCCAGAGATTCTTAAATTTCTTCAAAAATAAAACACCAGATGGCCCTGGGATTCTTAAAACTTCTTCAAAACAAAAACCGGATGCCCCTGGGATACACCGGGTACCCCTGAGATCCTTAAAACTTTTTCGAATATAAAACACTCCCAGATTCTTAAACATTTTCAAAAATACAACACCAGATACACCGGAGATTCTTAAAACTTCTTCAAAAGCAATACACCTTGTGGCCCAGAGATTCTTAACTCTTTTTCGAATATTAAACACCGAGTGCTCCCGAGATTCTTAAATTTCTTCAAAAATAAAACACCAGATCCCCTAAGATTCTTAAATTTCTTCAAAAATAAAACACCAGATGCCTCTGAGAATCTTAAACTTCTTCAAAAATTAAACACTAGATGGCTATGGGTTTCTTAAAACTTCTTCAGAAACAGAAAACCAGATGCCCCGTAGAATTTTAAAACTTTTTCAAAAACAATACACCGGGTGCCCCAGAGATTCTTAAAACTTTTTCAAATATAAAACACCGAGTGCCCCTGAGATTCTTAAACACCGTCAAAAGTAAAACACCAGATTCACAGGGGATTCTTAAAACTTCTCTAAAAGCAATACACCGGGTGGCCCAGAGATTCTTAAATCTTTTTCGAATATAAAACACCGAGTGCTCCCGAGATTCTTAAATTTCTTCAAAAATAAAACACCCGATCCCCCTGAGATTCTTAAATTTCTTCAAAAATAAAACACCTGATGGCACTGGGAATCTTAAAACTTCTTGAAAACAAAAGACCGGATGCCCCTGAGATACGCCGGGTGCCCCTGAGATCCTTAAAACTTTTTCGAATATAAAACACTCCGAGATTCTTAAATATTTTCAAAAATAGAACACCAAATACGCCGGAGATTCTTAAAACTTCTTCAAAAGCAATACACCTTGTGGCCCAGAGATTCTTAAATATTTTTCGAATATAAAACACCGAGCGCTCCCGAGATTCTTAAATTTCTTCAAAAATAAAACACCAGATCCCCCTAAGATTCTTAAATTTCTTCAAAAATAAAACACCAGATGCCTCTGAGAATCTTAAACTTCTTCAAAAATTAAACACTAGATGGCTATGGGTTTCTTAAAACTTCTTCAAAAACAGAAAACCAGATGCCCCGTAGAATTTTAAAACTTTTTCAAAAACAATACACCGGGTGCCCCAGAGATTCTTAAAACTTTTTCAAATATAAAACACCGAGTGCCCCTGAGATTCTTAAACACCGTCAAAAGTAAAACACCAGATTCACAGGGGATTCTTAAAACTTCTCTAAAAGCAATACACCGGGTGGCCTAGAGATTCTTAAATCTTTTTCGAAGATAAAACACCGAGTGCTCCCGAGATTCTTAAATTTCTTCAAAAATAAAACACCAGATGCCCCTGAGATTCTTAAATTTCTTAAAAAATAAAACACCAGATGGCCCTGGGATTCTTAAAACATCTTCAAAACAAAAGACCGGATGCCCCTGGGATACACCGGGTGCCCCTGAGATCCTTAAAACTTTTTCGAATATAAAACACTCCGATGTTCTTAAACATTTTCAAAAATAAAACACCAGATACACCGGAGATTCTTAAAACTTTTTCAAAAGCAACACATCTTGTGGCCCAGAGATTCTTAACTCTTTTTCGAATATAAAACACCGAGTGCCCCCGAGATTCTTAAAATTCTTCAAAAATAAAACACCAGATGCACCTGAGATTCTTAAACTTCTTCAAAAATTAAACACTAGATGGCTATGGGTTTCTTAAAACTTCTTCAAAAACAGAAAACCAGATGCCCCGTAGAATTTTAAAACTTCTTCAAAAACAATACACCGGGTGCCCCAGAGATTCTTAAAACTTTTTGAAATATAAAACACCGAGTGCCCCTGAGATTCTTAAACATCGTCAAAAGTAAAACACCACATTCACCGAGGATTCTTAAAACTTCTCCAAAAGCAACACACCTTATGGCCCAGACATTTTTAAAACATTTTCGAATATAAAACACCGTGTGCCCCCGAGATTCTTAAATTTCTTCAAAAACAAAACACCAGATGCCCCTGAGATTCTTAAATTTCTTCAAAAATAAAACACCAGATGGCCCTGGGATTCTTAAAACTTCTTCAAAACAAAAAACCGGATGCCCCTGAGATACACCGGGTGCCTCTGATATCCTTAATACTTTTTCGAATATAAAACACTCCGAGATTCTTAAACATTTTCAAAAATAGAACACCAGATACACCGGAGATTCTTAAAACTTCTTCAATAGCAATACACCGGGTGGCCCAGAGATTATTAAAACTTTTTCGAATATTAAACACTGAGTGCCTCTGAGATTCTTAAATTTCTTCAAAAATAAAACACTAGATGGCCCTGAGGTTCTTAAACTTTTTCGAATACAAAACACTGGGTGCTCCTGACATTCTAAAATTTTTTCGAAAATAAAACACCAGATGGTTCCCCCACAAATTTTTCAAATTTTTTGAAAAACAGAACACCAGATGGGGGTGAAATTCTTAAAGCTTCTTCAAAAATAATACATCAGGTGCCCCTGAGATTCTTAAAACTTTTTCGAAAATAAAACATCGGGTGCTCCTGAGATTAGTGAAAATTTTTCAAAAACCGCGTGCCCCTAAGATTCTTTAAATTTCTTTCAAAAATAAAACATGGGGGTAGTTGTGATATTCCTTTAAAAATGAAACATCGGGTGCTCCTAAGACTCTTATTTAAATAAAAATAATACACCGGTTGACCTTGAGTTATTTAAAACTTCGTCAAAAACTTATTATTTCGATCGAGGCATTTTTGTCCAACAATATGTTTTTTTTCTAATATTTTAATTCTACATTTGTGTGTGTCAACTGTCAAATCAGTGCTTTGGTGGTAGTCATAATATGATTTCGGTAATCAAGAACGGTACGAGTAATTTATCGCAAATTGGAATTTTTCTTTACTTAAGTTTAAGTAAGTATAATGACAAAGTGTACTTCGTTTAGAAACTTTCGGATTAATTTAAATTTGTTACAAATACCTTAAAATTAAATTATGTCGTGATCATTTTTTAGCAAAATTCATCAAAAATGTTAGTGTTGTTAAGAAAATGAAATGGGTGATAATAAACTAAAATTCTTACCATCATAAGGTAGCATGGTGTGAATTCAACGCTCTGTCAAAATCATTATGCGATTGTTAATGAAATAAAATTTCAGTACGTTTACTCTCCACCATAAATTTTTGTCGTCCTTAAAATATACCCACATTTTAAAATTTTCTTATTTTTGTACACCGCTCAGTTCGCGCCCAATAAAAAACAGGAAATTGTTTTAAGTGTCTTTATAGCCTCGTAAAAATAAAAATTACAAGGTTATTATAAGTCCAAATTCTCCTTATAACTTTAAACCGGCTATAAAAACCGTCGATGATGAATAAAAGAAATCGTTTCTAGAAAAATTATTTCATCAATTTAAAACAGTAACATACTTGCTCTGACACGATCCTTTTAGTAACCAACATCCATCAAGTGAACCCTAAAATGCTATTTTGCGGTAGGTCCCGAGCAACATTACCTGTTTCTGACGTGCGAGTTTAACCAATCGATGATTAATAATTCTCTTAACTGCCGTAAAGGGCAGTCTGTTAATTATTTAATGGCTTGTAAGACCAAAATCGTTTTAGGGTTCTATAACTACCTATTGAAGTGGTTCTTCGGACATTCACACAAGACGTAAACTTCATCATTGCATTCTAACTGTAACCGAATTTACGATTAATTTAATAACGGGAAATTTCGAAGCGATCAAGTAGTTGCACCGCGAGCGTGCTGAATTATAACCGAGCTTTTTTCAGGTGGTGCAGTGTAATCGACAACAGGCTTCAGCGGTAGCTGCATACAATGTTTTAGGGTAAGTATTAAAAACCATTCATATTATTTACTTGTAGTTATAGTTTTAGTGGTCAATTATTTTTACTTCCTGAGCGTAAGACGACTTGCCACTTTCGTGTTTTCTCGACGTTTCATGACCTCTAGAGTACGAAAAAAGTGGTCTACAGTTTGCGTCGATCTGTAGTCTGTATGAATTTTTATTAGACACATAGTTTCTGAAATTATTGGACGATTGTTGTATATTTTTTTTATATATATTAGGAATATCATGTAGATGGTGAAATGCTAATCAAAATTTCGCTAATGTATAAAATAAATATATTTTTTAATTTTATAAAATAAAGTACCCCTGCACTTGTGGTATATGAATCCGTGTTGAGTTTTCACCCTAGACATCCAAATTTTTTGAAAAAAAAAATCAAAAATACACAACAACATTGTTATCGTAGTTGTGGTAAATCGTTAACCAAAATTTATTTGTTTATCCCCTCCCAAAAAATTGATGACATCTCAAAATTTTGCCTAATAAATTCTCTCTGAAATATGAAAAACATCATGATTCTATATAGTTTTTAGAATTACTTATACAGGGTGACTCAAAAAATTCAATGAACGAGGCAGTTTATTTCATTCTTTTTTTGATATCACAATTTTCGTTTTTCCTTCTTTTCGATTTTGCAAATTTTTCATATCATAATTTTAAATTTTTAATTTTTTTTTAATTTTATAATTTTTCGTTTATTCAATTTTTCAATCTTAGATTTTTCAATTCTTCAATTTTCCAATTTTTTTAATTTAGCAAATTTTGGATTTACAGTTATCCAATTTTTCAATTTTCATAATTTTTAAGATTTCGATTTTAAAAAACATATTTCGATTTTTTGCAACTTTTCGATTCTCAAATTAAAATCTTTTGATTTTTGAATCGCTCGTTTCTTCAATTATTTATGTATTTTTTTTTATTTAAAATTTTTTGATTTTTCAACATTTCCATTTTAAACTTTTTTGTATTTTCACTTTTGATTTTTCAGTTCTACAATTTTGCAATTTGTCCATTTTTTTTATTCGAAAACTTGAAAAATCGAAAAATTGAAAAATCGAAAATTGAACAATCGAAAAATTAAAAATCGAAAAACTAAAAAACCAGAACCAATTTAAAAATTGAAAAATTGAAAATCGAATTTTTTGTTTCAGTCATTTTGAAATTTTTCCAAGTTTTCATTTTGGGCTGTTTAATTTTTTTATTTTTGATTTTTCAATTTTTACAATTTTGCAATTTTTCCATTTCTTTGATTCGAAAGGTTGAAAAATCGAGATACTAAAAATCGGAAAAAATTTGAAAAATGGAAAAACTGAAAAAACGAAAAGTTGCTAAATTGAAAAAGTGAAAAAGTGAAAATTTCAATCGAAGGACTGAAGAAACGAAAAATCGAAACATTGAAAAACCAAAAAGCTAGAAACGTAAAAATAAAAAAAAATATGAATCGAAAAGTTGGATAGAAAAAAAAGAAATCGAATCGAAAAATTGGAAAACTCAAAACTTGTAAAATCGACAAATTATAGAATCGTCAAAATTGTCGAAAAACTGTTACTCTGAAACATCGAAAAATTCAAAAACTAAAAATCGAGATAATGGAAAATAAAAAATCGAAAAATTTAAAATTAAAAATCGAAAAATTTAAAATATAAAAATTGAAAAATCAAAAAATGAAAAATTTCAAAAATCCTAAAATTGGCAAAGTGAAAAATTATAATGATACAAATTTAAAATGAAATCTAAAGAAATTTCAAATCTAAAAATGAAGAAACTGAAAATTTAAAAAACGGGAATCTGAAAAATCTAAAATCGAGCAAAAAATCCAAAAATTTAAATATTTCACATAGGAATTAAAAAGAAGGATTATAAAAGCAGAACACTGATTAACCGAAAATAAAGAAAATAAAAAAGTAAAACGAAAAATTCCAAATTGAAAAATTGAGGACAAAAAAAATGGGAAAATCGAAAAATTGCGAAGTCTAAAAATTGAAGGAACAAAAATCAATTGGAACATCACACATCGAAAAATTGAAGAAACAAAAAATTGGAAAAATGGGAAATTATAAAATCGAAACATTGAAAAATTGAATAACTAAAAATATAAGGAAAATAAAAAACCGAAACGAATATAAAATCGGGACACTAAAAAACCGAAAAATTGTAGAAATAAAGAAAATAACGAAACCCAAAAAAAAGTTGCAAATCAAAACCTTGAAGAAATGAAAAGTTAAAGCATCGTATGAAAAATTAAAAAATAAAGAAACGAAAAATTGAGAAATTGAAAAATCTAAAATTGAAAAAGCGCGGCATTAAAAAATTGCACATCGAAAAATTGAAAAATCCAAAAATTGAAACTTTTCGCATTGAAAAAAGGAAAAATTATAAAATCACAACCTTGAAAAACCGAAAAAGTGAAAAAATAAAGAAAATAAAAAAGCCAAACGAAAAATTGCAAATTGAAAAATTGAAGACTTGAAATTAAAAAAATTGGGAAATCTAAAAATTGAAACATCCAAGTGAAAAAATTTAAAATGAAAACACGAAGAGTTACATATCGTAAAATTGAATAAACAAGATAATGAAAAATTAAAAAATTGAAGAACCGGAAAATTGAAAAAAATGAAATTGAAGAAACAAAAAATTAAAAAATCTGAACACTGAAAAATTGAAAAATTCCAAAATCTAAAAATTGAAGTAATGAAAAATGAAATATCAAAAAGTCACGCATCGAAAAATTGAAGAAATAGAAATTGAAAAAACTGAAACATCTAAAATATCCAAAAAATCAACAGATCGAGAATTTGGGAAATGGAAAAGTCGAGAAACCAAAAAATTTAATCATTGCGAAATTGAAAAATTGGAAAAGCGAAAAATCGAGAAATTAAATCGAAACATCAAAATCTCCATAAATCGAGAAGTAAAAAAATAGAAAAATCGTAAAACTAAAAACCTAAAAACCTAAAAACCGAAAAAACTAAAAACCGAAAAATCTAAAAATGTAGAAATCGAAACATCAAAAAACAGAAAAATCTAAAATTTAATAATTCGAAAAATTGAAAAATACAAATGTCGAAAAACTGAAAAATCAAAAATCAAAACATCGAAATCTCCATAAACAGAAAAATTGAAGAACTGCAAAATCGAGAAATCGAAAAATTTAAGAATTGAAGTGTTGAAAAATCCTGAAATATATCGAAAAATGCAAAAACTAGAAAGAAAATCGAAGAAAAATTAACAAAGCGAAAAACTGAAAGATCGAAAATCGAAATGTCGAATAATCGAAAATTTTAAAAATCGAAAAATTGAAAAATCAGAAATCTGAAAAATGAAAGAAATTGAAAAATTGAAGAAAAAAAATCCAAAGATCGAGATCGAAACATCAAAAAGTTTCAAAATCGAGAAATGAAAAAACTGACAAATCAAAAAATGGAAAAGTCGGTTAATTGATGAATAAAAATTTAATGAGGCCAAAAATTGAAAAATAAAAAAGTTGAATAACTGAAAAACTGAAAAATTGAAAGATCGAATAGTTGAAAAATTAAGAAACCGATAAATCCAGAAAACGAGCAAATGAAATATCAAAAAGTTAAAATTTAGAGAAATTGAAAGAACTAAAAGAAACGAAAAATCGTAAATTTGTATAATCGATAAATTCGCAAATGGAAAAATTGAAAAACCGAGACAAGGAATAATTGAAGACTCGAGAAAATGAAAAGATTACGAATTTTAATGTCTCGATTTTTCAGTTTTTAGATTTTGCGGTATTTCTATTTCTGGATTTTTGGATTTTTCGACTTTTCGATTTTTTGACTTTTTGCAAAATTCAACAAATCTAAAATCGAAAATTTCAAAAACCGAAAATTCGAAATACTAAAAAAATGCAAATCCGAAAATTGATAAATCGAAAAACTGAAAAATTAAAAGATCGAATAGACGAAAAATTAAGAAATCCAAAAATCAAAAAACTTAAGACTTGAACTGTTAAAAAATTGAAAATTCGAGATATTGATTAAAAACTAACAATAGAAAAGCGTAAAAATTTCGGAAAACTGAGAAATCAAAAAATAAAAATCGAGAAATTGAAACCTCAAAGATTGAGAAATCGAGAAATGGACTTTTCGAAAAATCGAGAAACGGATAAATCGACATAGGCCAAAACCGAAAAATTGAAAAATTTAAAATTAAAGAAATTGATAAGTATGTGCAAAAATTGGAAAATCGAAAAATCGAGAACTTGAAAATCAACAAGTTGAAACATCGAAATCTCGATAAATCAAGAAATAGAAAAATTGAATAATCGAAAAAATAAAGAAATATAAAACCGAAACTAAAAATTGTAAAATCGGAACATTGAAAAATCGAAAAATTGTAGAAATAAAGAAAATGAAAACCGAAACCAAAAGTTGGAAATCGAAAACTTCAAGAAATGAAAAATTAAAGAATAGAAACATTAACAAATTAAAAATTAAAATCTAGAAAAACTTAAAACCCAAAAGTTGAAGAAACAAAAAAAATAAAAAATCAGAACTCACATCGAAAAATTGAAGAAACGAAAAACTGACAAAACGAGATATCATAGAATTAAAAGATTGAAAAATCGAATAATTGAAAAAATAAAGACATTAAAGAACCGAAACGAAGAATTCAAATCGAAAAATTGCAAAATCCAAAACTAGAAAAATTCAAAATTTGGAAAATTGAAAAATTTAAACTTCAAAAGAAAAAAATGCAATCATAAACTAATGAAACAAAAAGATGAAAAATTCAAGTCAAAAAAGTTGTGCCACTAGTTTTTACTTTATAGCGGTTATCAGAAAATAATAGCCTCCGACCAGTTTTTTTATTAAGACATACACATAAACAATTTTGATACACAGGAAGTTATATTCCTAAATTTGTAAAATTTGGATGAACTATGATTATTATTTTATTCTTTGCCAAAGCAATCACGCAATTATAAACAAAATCACGAAATTAATCTT